CGGCGACAGTATTTGTGTATAAATACCTTGTATCTATGTATCTAAAACTTAAAAGATACCATATCAAAAAATAACTAGATCCGGATATAGGTATCTCCTATAAGGATCTAGGTAATGCATTTAGGTACAGCTAAAGTATCTAGATACTGTATCTAGATACTTTTACCTAGATACGTTCCAACACTGCTGACGAGCAATATTATTTATCCATTTTACACAGAGTAACAGAAGCTCACAACTCTCCTTTAACATATAATATTCGTTTTTTTGTGCGATGACTGCAACGGTAACTATTCATTGAGCGAGATTGATGTATTATAGCTCTCTTTCGTTCGTGTGTTTCTAATTTTTTTTACTTATTTATTTTTTTGGACGGTGTATTTAATATGAAATTTTACTTATCTTTACAAAATATGCGAGTTAATTTTTCTGTGTAACTGCCATTAAGCATACTTTAAACTATGCAATGGTACCCATCATATGAATGCACTCTGATAATATCGATAACCTTTGTTATCTAAGAGATAGTTCACACGATGTCGTTTTTTTGCCGAATCGGTAATTTCACTGAATCGGACCGAATCAAATATCGCGTTTAGACGATACGGTAATTTCGCCGTACGTTTATTCTCCCGTATGCCCAATCAATTCCATCATCAGCTCTCTCCCAAGATGGACGCGAATATATTTATTATTTATTGGTACTATCGCCGTCGTTATAAAAAAATTAAGAGAAAAAATATTAGGCGACGTCATCCAATTATAAGTGAAAGATCTCGTTTTAAACAGCTGACTGGGGTAGAGAGCCTCAAAGGGAGAGAGTGGCAAATTGCATCACGTGAATGCTCGTATCCAATCAGGACGGGGGTCACGAGACCAGTTTTCTCCAATCTCTGCCATGCCTATGGAGCTTCGATGCCCGCGTCCAATCAAAGGAGACAAGTCACATGATGCAATTTGCCACTCTCTCCCTTTGAAGCTCACTAGACTGGAGTGCTGCGCTCTACAGCAGAAAAGCCGAATCGATAGAAAAACCGTATCGTATGAACGAGCTCTAAGGGATCAGCGCCAACGATAATAAAGTCTGTTCTTATTCTCTTTTCAAAAATGAGTTTGGGCAGTGTATTCAATATGGAATTTTACTTGTTTTTACAAATGTGCGATTTAGTTTTTCAGTGTAATGTTATAATGATTTATATATTTACATACAGATATACGCCACCGGAATCTAAGTTATTCAAATTGCAAAGAATTTATTACTCGTATACCTTTAATTTTTAGCATAGGTTGCCTTTGAGGCAACAAACACTCAAAGGAGCAATAGGGATATCAGGAGTGCTGAGGGATGTAGTCTGGAGAAATCAAATCTAACAACAGAAAGTATGGTCCGAGTGTACAAGAGAATTGTTAGACCTATACTGACATACGGAGCCGAAACACCCGCAGAGACAAAGAGAACAAAGCAGCTTAGCCGCACTACAGAATTGCGGATCCTACGAACGATAACCTCAGACATCGTGAGGTTCATCAAGGACCGAAGAGAAGAATGGAACAATCATGTCGGAAGGGCGAACAGCACACGTTTGATAAAGATAGCAAGAAATCACAGACTGGTAGGCAATCGATCCCCCAGAAGGCCACCAAAAAGATGGGCCGAAAGCTGGATAGATCGTCATCAATAGACAGTTCTGAACATAACGCATGAAGAAAAACAGGCAAAACCTATAATAAAATAAGAAGAAAAAAAAAGAGGTAAAAGTTCCGATTAGGGGATCCCCCCCCCCAATAACCTTGACCTTCACATATATTGTCAAGGTCATGACCTTGAGTAATCTCCAACAGGTTTTAACCGTCGCTCGTCCTTCGTTAAAAAGTTATTAACAAAAAAAGTTTTACTATATATCAAAAATTCTGTACTTTAAAATAAATACACACGGGGGGGGACTTCCACCGATGGGGTGGGTCGTAGGCCCTTCCTGGTGGTACCTTCCTCCACCCTACAAAGGAGCGCCCGACACTCACTTTCGACTCTCACCCCCCCTCCCCCCTGCAAAGGAGCGCGCGAATTATCACCTTCGACTCTCACCTCCCCCTCCCTCCTGCAAAGGGGCGCGCAAATCTCACCTTCGACTCTCACCCCCCCTCCCTTCCTGCAAAGGGGCACACGACTCTCACCCCTCCCTCCCCCTGCGAAGGGGCGCACAACTTCCACGCTCGTCAAACATTCACACGTACAAGTCTATTTATTCCTCGGTTTATTTTGCTTATATTTAAGCAATGGAAAGGTCACTGTTACGATGCAGGGGAGGGAGCAGGGGTGAGAGGCCGCCATGCTCTTCTTCCGATTGATTAACAAATTGGTACTCTGGAATTACAAGCAATTATTTTTCATTGTACGGACTAGTATAAATTTCGAATCAAATCTCAATAAACGATTTTTATATTTTGTGCACTAAGAGTAACATATCGCACTTATTTTCTGGAATCAAATTGTAATCTGTTTTACTTATACGTATGTATTTTCATTTTGAACTTGCACCTTGAACAACATCAATTATTTTTCATGGTATTATTAAATTTAGATAATATACACTTTATGTATGTTTATTTTAATAATATATCAGTTACTTTTCATGGTAATATATTATTTTAGATAATCATTTAAATTTTTAAAGGTTTAAATTTTTGAGGATCTTTTTTTGAACATGGCCTGAACTTTTCATTTTTATGATTTTTTTTGGGTTATCACCTACTTTTCAGAGTACAGATATACGGGGTAGCTTCCTAGTAATGCAAGTATGAAAAATGTATATATTTTCGATTTTTATCACGTAACATTCTATAAGCTACAATTTATGCAATACAGTTAGAAAAAATTGAAATATAATATATGGTATACACATATATAAATATATAATAAATATATGTATATAAATATGTATTATGTATACACACATATACATTTTATTTAATAGTATAAATTACATATTTATTTCAATTGCAACAGAATGAATTTATAATATTCTATGAATATATGTATACGTATATACGAGGGCGGTCCGATAAGTACTTAGCCTCAACGCCCGATGGCGCCACTATCGCAAGAGAAATTTACTAACGTGTAGTACATTCTCGTAGACGGCTACTGTCAAAATTTCAGTCGAATCGGACTCGGAGTTTTGTTTTGACCGCGTGTGGAAGCGAGCGTGTCCGCGGATTTTAGAAAAATGGAAAAAGAGCAATATCGGTCGGTGATTCGATTCTTGTTTTTGGAAGGGAAATCGCGCAGCGAAATCAAAGAGCCCCATCCACCGTATTCTCCAGATTTGGCCCCGTGCGACTTCTTTTTGTTTCCAAACTTGAAAAAGTCACTCGCCGGGCAGAAATTTGAGTCGAATGAGGAGGTCATCGCCGCCACGGAGGCCTACTTTGCAGACTTCGAGAAAACGTATTTTTCAGACGGGTTAAAGAAGTTGGAGCATCGCTGGGTCAAGTGTATCGAGCTAAAAGGAGACTATGTTGAGAAATAAATCGCCACTTTTCCAAAATTTTCGTTTTTCTTTTGTAGGCTAAGTACTTATCGGACCGCCCCCGTATATACATATATACTGAAAATAAAGAATGGGCCCCTACATCGCCCATTTTCGTGAAAACATAATCATATTTTCTTCGTCTCTCCGATTTTAACATGATCTTTGACATAGAGATTTTTTCTTGATGATATTATAATATCATAAATATCATAAAGTTCTTCGATAATAAATTTTTATTATTCATAGTAATATATCGATATAATGAATAGATTTTTTTGACAAATTACATTTCACTTTAGAAAAAAATCATGTTTCAACAACATACGAGTACATATATACCATATTTTTCAGTAAACTAAAGCGTACTACATCTGCTGCAAACTACATCTGGTGTAAAAAATTTTTTGATATATAACTAATAACAGGGGAAAGCTGCAACAAGTCTCCAAACAAAAGAATGTGTTTTCTGCCAAAGAAACCATCATCTGTATCTGTCGTATCAAAGATTTCATATAATCGTAGATTGATAAACATAAGTTTCACATTCGAAATCATGGATACTTCATCGATTATAAATAATTCGACAGTCTTTAATTTGTCTCTCAAAGTTTTCAAGACCATGTCTGACAAGTGCGTATACTTTGCCGTAGATTCATGGGTCATGGGTAGCTGAAACATTCTATGGATCGTCAAACCATCGATATTGAATGCCGTGATACCCGTGGGAGCAGATATGGCAGTCGCTTTTTTCAAATGTATTCTGATCCAATGTTTAATCGTTTCAATAAGAAAACTTTTCCCTGTACCACCCTCGCCACTTACGTACAGTCGCAGAATCTGATTTTTATTTTGTAAAATTTGGTATACTCTATCGAAGATTCTTTTCTGGTCTTCTTTCAATCGCGACATGATTTGCAATAAATCAATCAGTGCGTCAATCTTACCAAAATTTTCCAGATCTTTCATCGCGTCGTCAGCTTCTATCGGATTGCAATCCAGTTCATCGTCAACGGATTTGTCTCTGTCTGCTGTTTTCAGATCATTTTCGCGCTTCTCGATTAATTCAGCAACGTTGTCAAAAGCTTTCTGTATTTCTTCGAGGCTTTCGTGATATTTCATTGTCTTCATCAAAGCAGACGCTGAATTCTTAAAGGTATCCGTGTAAGTTTCGTATGCACCTTTGAATTCACTCAAACCTCTCCACGGTTTAAACAGAAGAAGCAGTGAGTAAAA